GTCCCGCCGCTGCCGTGCCGGAGCCGCTGGGTCACTGGGTTCTCCCCCCGGAGTCACTGGGTTCTCCCATCTGGATCACCGCACATTCCCCGATCCCCTGTTTTTTCTGCCCAAACCGGGTTCCGGGTTTCCTCTGCACCATTTCCTCCTTGAAGAAGCGGGCACCGGAGGCTGCAGGGGCAGGCTGAGGTGCCGGGGCTCCCTCTCACCCCGCAGATTTGTGCTTTTCCCTGGAGGGCCGGGAGCTCCGCGTTCAGAGTTTCCAAAGTCACTGCTGAACTCTGGAAGATTGAGCACAGAGCTCGGGCTGCAGAGCGGATCTCCGAGATCCCTTAGCAGCAAAGTGTTTAAATGCGCTTTTACAGCGCACCCGGAGAGCCCCGCGGAGAGCAGAGATCGCTGACAGCCGGCGCTGCCGCTGTCCAGAGCTTTAGCGCTTGTTTGCATTGACGCTCGCATCGCCACTTTGCATCTTTGTGACTTTACGCACCCTCATCTATGACTTTACGGGGTTTTTTATTGCCGTGCGCTCAGGGTTTCCTCCCGCTGGGAAGGCGGGGGCTCGCTGCCGAGCTGGGCAGCTCCCCGGGACGGTTCCGYGGTGCTGGGGTCTGTTTGGGACCATGGAGGATGGATTTTCTGCTCTGCAGGGTCTGTTCTGGTGCTCTGTTCCTGCAGGCTTTAAAGGCAACCAGAAAAGCTGCCAGTGATGCAACACGGTTTAATGATGCCATTTATGGTGGCTTTTTTATTTAGTTAATGCGGATAAAGAGGCTCTGCGAACTTGCCTGCTCGTTAATATTGCACATGTCCATGTTTTGCGTTTTATTATTTTGTATCCTGCAAACAAATGTTGAACTGAAACCTTGAGTTTCTTCAAGAAGAACTGGAAATTCTTTGGATAAGATACTGTCCAGGACAGGTATTTCAGAGAGAGTCATTTTCTCCTTTTTGATCCGAGATCTTCTGAGAGAAGCACCTTTGTCAGGGAAATGGCTTTCTGCAGAATGTTTCTGTCTCTGTGACGCATTTCCAGTAATATATTATTTATTCTAGCAAAGGGTGAGAGCTTTCCAGGTGGCAGCATGTCTAGGAGACACTTGAGACCTGATTCTTGGTTCTTCAGCTTTCTGGTGAGTTTTACACTTTTTGGTTTTTTTTTATTCTGGTTATTTGAAATGATATTAATGTTTCTCTGAATGTGTTACAACACATCCTCTCCACCAGATCGGTCTGTCCAGGAGCCTCCTTGCCTTTGCAGCTTTTGCCAAGAACCAGACTTCTAAAGGTTAGTGTTTGTATCAGCACTCTGTGTGTTTTACAAGTAGTATCCAGCACAGAGAAACAAAAGGTTTCTGGTGGTGGAAACAAAGGTGAAGAAACTTCTTCTGTTATCCTGTTTTGTGGCTAAAATGCTGTTTGCAGAGCTGGTATTTGCCAGGCTGTTTGCTCAGCTGCCCCACTGCAACTGCAAACCAAACAGWTTATTTTGTCCTTGCAAATTGCATCTGCAATTGCAGAAGCTGGGAGGAGCTGGGAAGTGGGGGTAAAACAAGAAAAGTTGTTTTTAAATAACTTCTGTGCTTTTCTGAGGGCCGTCCCTGGGCATAGAACAGCGAGCTTTTCCTTTGCACTGAGCGTGGTTTGTGTGTCCCATGGCAGTGTGCCCGGTCCAGCCTGGGGCACAGAGCTGCTTTGGRGACAGACTCACAGCTGTCCCTCTGTCCAGTATGGTCTGAGCTGGTCACCCTGTGCCCATGGAACAGCCCAAGGGCTGCACTGGGAGAGGAGCTCCTGTGCAGGATGCACCAGGCAGCGTTTTCAGCCCAGGCAGGGTTTTCAGCCCAGGCAGGGTTTTCAGCCCAGGCAGGGTTTTCAGCCCAGGCAGGGTTTTCAGCAGGGGGCTGGAGAGCATTTCTGTTTCCCCATGCTGTGTGTGCCTTTCCCCAGGTTTTGCTCCCGTCACAATTGAGACATCGAGTCACACGTACGAGTACGTGGCCACTGCTCTGGACTGGTGGCAAGCTGACAGGTTCTGTGGGCAGCGCTTTGCCCAGCTGCCCTTGGAACCCCAGGACGGCGAGCGAGATTCCTTCAGCAAACTGCTGCAGTCCCACCACATCAGAGGYCCTGTCTGGCTGAGGGAAAGGGACAGTGTCCTGCACAAAACAAAGAGGAGGCGTGAGTATAAGTGGCCATGGGCTATTTGGAGACATTTTCATTCTGAAAAACATGACTGGAAAAGCTGTCACTCATTTTTTTCATTGTCACTTTATTGGCCAGTCCTTCTTCCTTTGTGCTGACTGAAATTTCTCCTTCTAGGGGGCCACACCGTGCCAGTCCTGGTATTCAGAGACAAAACAGACACAAAATATGTGAAAGTGCTCCGTGACTTCCCAGCCCTGCCTGCTGTCACAGCCTGTGCCCACCTGCAGTGGGACACCCGSACCCAGGACATCGCCACCATCTTCTCCTACGCCGTTCCAGCTTTCATCAACGAGTTCCAGCTGCGTGGTTTTGTGGATGAGGAAGGCTTTGTTCGCTTTGCTCTCATAGTGCACGGSCACCACTCCCCTTACCTGCCCGTGTTTCGTGCTGATGGGCAGTGGCATCACTTCTGTGTCACCTGGCAGCAGGAGAATGGCACCTGGGCCATCTACGCCGACGGGAAAAGGAGAGCATCTGCCAGTGGTTTGTGTTCTGCGGGGCCCTCTGCCCCCCAGGCCATCCTCGGCCACGGGACCTTCATCATCGGGCAGGATCAGGATTCCCTCGGGGGCACCTTCAGGGCAAAGGAGTCCTTCAGTGGCAACGTCACCGACCTGCACATCTGGCAGAGGGTCCTTGGCRCCCAGCAGATCGAGAAAGTTCGCTCGTGCTGGGTGGTGGAGCAAGACCTCGTTTTTGGGTGGGGCTCCAATGCTCTGGAGGTGGAGAGCACTGTTGAGACAGTGACCACACAGCTTCTTTGCCCAGGTAGGTCTCACTGTCCTCGTGGCCTCAGGCCAGCGCTGTCCTTAGAGAGGGAATTTGTTGCAGGGAGGGAATTCATTTAGGGAATGATGCTGCTCCTTGGGGAAGAAAAGAGGAGCACATTCAGAGCTGGGCTGGGCAGTTTACAAATTGTACTTGAAGTCACATCRTCACGAAAGCCTTGGTCACTGGAGACCCCTGCAATGGCCCTGGCACAGATGGCTGTAGATGGCTGTTCAAGTGTCTTGAGCTAATAATGGGATTTCTCTTCCACTGAGAGAAAGAGCTTCCAGGGCAGGGATGCCATCCCATTTGCACACCTGGTCCTTCAATGGTCTGTTGGAAGGAGGGGTTGGGGCTCTCAGCCAGACTGAGGTGACAATACTGACCAGCCCCCAACTCAGGACGTGGCACGGCCACCTCCCAGTTTCTTCTGGAGAGCAGCTCCAGCTGGGAGCCGTCTCTGAGCCCCGTCCCTGCTCTGCTCTGGCCCTGGGGCTGCTTTAGGACCAGCCCCTGGTGTTTGTTGTACAGGGTTTGTGAAGCACTGCAGGAGAAGCAGAACCTGCTGGGGACAGCGTGTCCCTTCTGCCTGTGTGTGTCTCCACAGGGCCCGTGGAGGAATGCAGAGTTTGGGATGTTGGGAGTCGTGGATCCAGTTACACATCTTGTYTGCAGACTTTGCCTTTCCTCTGTGGCTACAGAAAGGGTACAGCCTCTGTTGGTCATTTGTCCATTGTTTGTTGTGCATGCACTCGGGGCGGTCCCAGGGGGTGGTGGCCAGGGCTGGGGGGGCTCGGGCCAGCTCAGAGGGGTCACACAGAACCCACCCCAGCTGCCTGACCCTGACAGGGGATGGGGTGGCTCTGCCCCAGCTAGGCAGTGGTGGGACACATTCCATGGTTTTGGGATGCAGAGCTGTGGAGASCCTCCCAAGCCAGGCATCTCCAGGCTCATTGRCCAGCGGGGCATGGGGAGAGGCAGGAAAGGAGGGTTAAACTCCAGACAGGATCTTGTGTTCAAAATAAAATACAGCTGTGAAGTCTCCCTGTCCTGCCTGTCGTGCAGACTCGGCCATCTGAGGCACTTGTTAACCATGCTGTTGGTCAGCACAGCAGTGCTTCTGCTTCTGCTTTAYCCCCAGATGCGTTCCRAGAGCTGAGGAGAGCTCAGCAGGAKCCCAGYCCTGCCCTGGCCAGCCGTGTGAACGCCCTTGCAGAGAGGACTGTGGTGAGTCCTGCAGCCCCCAGGCCCCTGCAGCTGCTGGGGTGGCTGTGCTGACCACTGCTGCTCTGTTTGAGGCCACTGCTAGGGGTTGTGCCTGTGACCTTTCCTGAGCTGCTGCTGGAGATGGTGACCAGCACAGCTCTAATTGTGCTGTGATCAAACAAAGTGACATTGACCCACCTCTCTGAGGGCAGGAGCCTGGACAGGAGATCCCCTCCCCAGAATATTCCTGCCCTGACACCAGCAAGGCACAGCCGATGATCAGGGAGGGTCAGGGCTCTGCACTGAGCTAAACCATCCTTTCCATGACAGATTCCTGAGAGCGTCTTCACGAGTGGAGTGCGAGACATGAACCTCTCTGAGGCTCTTGATGCTCTCGATGTGTTGGCGGCTGTTCTGAGAGAAGGACAAATGCCCAGCCTTGAGCCACCTGACCTCCTTGCAGTGCTTCAGCTACTAAAGCAAGTTTCAGATATGGAAGTGCAGGAGGGAGATGAGCTGGACATGTTGGAGCAGTTGGGCCAGTTTTTCATGGAAATAACAGAGCTAATTCTGGAGGAGCAGAACGCTGGCACGTGGTCATCCATCAGCCAGGTAATGGTGTCWCCAGTCTGGTTGCCACGTGCCACATCTGCTGTCCTTGCATGGTCACCTGCAGCCTCAGTGGCCACAGTCTGGCCGTGAAAATGCTGCAGGAAYGGAGCCCCTTTGCCAGCTCGGAGCAGGGCCAGCTGCTCTCCTGGTGCCTCATTTTTTGGAGGGACAGCCTTGTGCAAACAAGAGCAGCGTGGTGGTGCCTTCCCTGCAAACCCCTGCAGTGGCTGACTCAGCTCTCCTCAAGCTTCTCCACCTCGTCAGCGTGCAGTGAGGGTTTGCAGATCCCCGTTTTTGTGCAGTTTCCCTGCTCCCAAATCCTGCTGCTGGCAGGGCACGGCCCTTCCCTCTGTGTGTGCGCTGTTCCTGTGCCACGAGCTGCTTGTCATCAGCCCCCGCACTGCTCCAAACACTGCCAGGCTTTGTGTGAGGGAGGAATTCCCTCCATCCCASCCCTGAGAGGCTTTTCTCCCCTCTCACGTGTGTCTTTGGTGCCTGGAGCAAGGTCTGCACTCTCTGCCTGTGCCGGGAGAACTCGTGACAGTGTCTGGCATGGCCAGTGCCCCAGGAACCGAGCCAGGGACAGCAGAGATGAGAGGATGCTGAGTTCACCTCACTGCTCACCCTGGTGAGGTCTCCATGGCTGCAGTCACTCTCAGCTTCTCCACGGTGGCACAAACCCAGCTCTGGCACGGTGTGCCCGGTGCATCTGCCGAGGGAGAAGRGCAGGAGCTGTGCCATGGACGGGTGGCACTTGGGCACCACAACAAGATCCTGGGCAACGGGGCCGGGCTCCTGCTGCCCTTCAGCTGCACTGCCTATTTCTGGGGAAAACCTTTTCCAGCAGGAGCAGATGGCTGTTCTACAGATTTGCAAAAATCARGAGCCAAGTCTAAAGATCTTTCTTTCCAGAAGCTCATTTAGTTATTTATTTCCATGCTGTTCTAATGGCTTTTTATGCAGAACGGCAAGTTTCCCTCATTGCCAGACTCGTCTCCTTGCTGAAGGRACTGGGAACACCCTTTGTAAAGAAATCACAGAAAACCAAAGCCAAAGCCTTGAGTCCMAACTTCTCTTTTTTTCTGCCAAACATTTAAGGGAACTCGTGTGAGCTGTGGGAAGGGAGGGGTGACGGTGCAGGTGTTGATTTCCRTTGCTCTGTGGGTGTTTGCAGGTGATCAGGGGGCCCATGGCTGTTGTTGAGCTCTGTGACAGAATGGGGTCACTCCTGGTGCCGCTGCTGACTGCAGAGAGGACGAAGATCACCATCCAGCACGGGAATATTGGTGAGTGGCACCGGAATATACCTCAGTGCCACCCTCCTGGRTCCCAGCCCGTGCCCCTCCTGGCTCCTCTGGCTCTCCCTTGCCAGCCCTGCAGCCTGCTCCCCATTTCATTTCCTCTGCCCAGAGTGCCACCGTGTGAGGGCTCCTCTTATGCAGAGGGTTGCAAGAGGATTGTACGAAACCCTTGGGCATGGGAGGAACTGRGCCCAGATGCCCCAGTTTGCCCAGMAAGGGACCCTCTGTGGCTCTTGGCTGGCTGGCAGTGTCCTTGTGGCACTGTGCTGTGGCAGTGGCTCTGGAGGAGGGCTGTACCCGGGTTCAGCAGCTGCTTTTCCCYGCGCAGGGATGGAGCTGAGGCAGCTGGAGCTGAGCGGGCAGGAGCTCARTGGTGAAGCCTACGTGGTGCAGACCCCTGAGAGAGGCAGCCACGACCTCATCGAAATTCCCGCAGAAGAGATAGAAAGGCTGAAAACCAGAGGTTTGTTATGACCCCTGAACTTCTCTCGATGCTTCTGCAGCACCTTCCTTAACTGTACAAAGTGTTTGCCCTGCACTGTGGAGAAGCGTGGGGAGGGGACACCCCTGTGAAAGGGAGATGGGGAGAGGCAGAGATYCTGTACAGCCTCTGCAGACACTTCTGAGGGTATTCTGGACACCAAGGGTCACCCCCAGGTGAGGGCAGCGGTGCCCAGAGCTGTCCCTGTCCCCACGCTCTGTCCCTGCAGGTCTCCACAGGGTCACAGTGAAGAACATGTGGTTTGGTTACGGCTCCCTGCAGCGCTGCCTGTCCAGCRCCGGCACCAGCGCCGTGTCCCAGGACGTGACTGCCACTGATGGGGGACAGAGGTGAGTGAAACAGAGCCCCCCGCACCCCAGGGCTGCCCTCAGTGCCCCAGGAGTGCTCATTTTCAAATCTGCATCGGGTTTGTGCCTCGATTTTGGGGTCACCTTCACCCTGATCCGGCTGGGGCTGCCTGTGCACGGAGATGCACCGATTTTGGGGACTCCTGCGGGCCTCCCGGGGTGACCRGCTCTGCCGGGGGGACAGGGACAGAGCCCCCAGGGGCCGCCGCAGGGTCCCGGCCGGGCGGGCAGGGGGGTCCCTGGGGATGGGGGCGATGGTGGCTCCCGGAGCGAGAGCCGGGCCCGCCGCTCTCCGGAGCTCCGAACACTAGGGGGGGATGGCCGCCCGCTCATCATCCCACACACCCCGCAAATTCCGGCTCACACCGCACATCCCGGCTCATCCCGCACATCCCGCAAATCCCGGCTCATCCCACACACCCCGCAAATCCCGGCTCATCCCGCACATCCCGCAAATTCCGGCTCATCCCGCAAATCCCGAACATCCCGCACATCCCGTAAATCCCACACATCCCGCACATCCCGGCTCATCCCGCACATCCCGGCTCATCCCTCACATCCCGGCTCATCTCGCTCATCCCACACATCCCGCAAATCCCGGCTCATCCTGCTCATCCCGCAAATCCCGTGCCCAACCCTCCCTGGAGCCCGGAGCCCCCCAAGAGCCGTGGGGATCYCTCCACTGCCCCATCCGCCCGGAGCTCCCCGGTTCCGAGCCCGTCCCGCGGCGGCCGTGCCTGTGAGCAGCATCCTTTCCCCGCAGGTACCTGGGCACCGCSGTGGGCACCGCTGTCATCTCCTCCACCCTGCTCAGCGACCAGCGGGAGATCAGCGCGTCCGTGCGCTACCGCCTGCAGCACCGCGCACAGGTACGGGCACGGCACAGCACGGCACAGCCCGGCCCGGCCCCACAGAGCTCCGGGTGAGGGGTGCCCCGTGCCAGGGCTGCCCCCGAGCCCCCCGGGCCATGGGGAGGTGCTGGTCCYGCACTGACCCTGTCACAGCCACGGCAGTGACCTGTCCAGCACATGCTGACCTCTTCTCTCCCCTCTCTGCTGCAGGACCTGCCCGACACKCTGGTGGGGCCCATCTGTGCCTTCTGGAACTTCAGCCTCAGGTGCCTGGTTTCAGTTCGGGTCCCCATATTCAGTTTTATTTCCACTGGAAAGCCAAACATATTAGTGTAATGGTAAGAATAGGGATCTAGATTTTTTTGCCTCCTTTGTGTGCTGGAGCAGAGTGCTTTCCTGCAAAGATTTCCTTTGGAGAAGTCACTCACAAGCAAGTGCCCTTTAATGAGGTACACACAACTAAAACAGAAAGCCCYAGTTAATTTTGATTGCTGCCTGTGACAAAGAAGATTTGCTCCAAGATATACGGCCCAAAGACACGCAGGACTCGCAGCCCCATAAATCCTGCCTGGCACCGGGRTGTGTTTTTGCAGAATGTCCCTGCAGTGAGAGCACCGAGGCTGTGATATATTACAGATTGGTAATTAAGTCATTCAAGTGAAAAAGCCCTCCTCAGAATCCCAGGCTTGCAGCAGGCATGGGGAAGGTGGGCAGGGTGTGTTTTTGGAGGCAGATGGTGCAAAGGGTGCCCGCAGCCCTGCTCTGGTGCTGGGGCTGAGCTGCAGCCGTGGTCCCTGCCCAGGCAGCTCAGAGGGAATGGCTTGGACAGGCTGGCATCTCCTGGGGATCCAGAGCCTGGTGGCACCGTGCTCGTTTGTGTCAGGCTGGGCTGGTGGGGAGGGGTGACATCACCAGCCCAGGGAATGGGCAGCACAGGGAGCTCTGCCAGAGCTGTGCATCGCTGGGTTCTGTTTGGAGCTGTGAGGGCTGAACTCTGCCTTTGAATGCACACATCGATACTGGATCTATGTTCATGGTGTGCCTGCTGGGTGAGGCAAAGCTGCTGAGACACAGGGTAAACCAAAGGGAAGTCCATGTCAAGCCCTGTCTGTGATATCCTCATCTTCCTCCTTTCAACTCTGTTTCTTCTGGGAGAATGGCATTCCTGTCATGCCCTGGCTTTCTGTGGGGGTGGAAGTTAATTTCTGTGTGTTTCCTCTGCTTTTGCTGTGTGTTAGCCCAGATGCTGGTGGGATGTGGTCCACAGCCGGCTGCTCCGTGGTGATGTCTCTCCCGGACTCCACTGCCTGTTTTTGCAACCACAGCACCAATTTTGCCATCCTGCTGCAGGTGTACGAGATGCAGGTACGTGAGGAGCCTGTCTCTGCTGCTCTGGGGTGCCAGGACTGCCAGCAGCCTGTGACCAATTCATGGGGGACTTGTGTCTTCTATCATTTCATGAGCAGAGGACCTCCAAGGAGGAGTTCACATTGCAGATCCTGACCTTTATTGGATGTGGAGTTTCCTTCTGTGCCTTGATAGTCACCTTCATTWTATTCTTGGTAGTTCGGTAAGAAAAGCCTGGACGCTTGTAGCCTTCTCTGTATTTTTTATTTGATCTTTAACTTCAGAGATTTGTCAGGGTGTCCTTGTGAGGGTGGGGAGGTGGRAGAGGCTGTGAGCTGCCCCATCCGTCTCTGTGGAGATGTTCTCTGAGCTGTGCCCGATGTGTCTGTGGCAGCATTTCTATCAATTGCTAACGATGTTTACTATAAAAGCTGCTCTGCTAGAATTAATTTTTATAAAATAAATGGAGCAAGGACTGTGTTCTGTGAGTGCCAAGCCTTCTGTGTCACTTGGCAAGCACAGAGATCAGCCTTGTGAGCACGGCAGTGGCTTCCTCCTCCTCCCCCTCACTGCTGCTCCCTGAAACCACTGGCTGAGCAGCTGTGTCCAAACGTGTCCCCAGCACCAAGCAGGGCTGTCCCCTGCCCCTCAGACTGTCACCTCTGCAGTGAGGGGCAGAGTTTGCCCGGGCAGGGAGGACACGGGCACCCTTTTGTCCGGCACCAGCTCAGGGGTCCCTCTGTCCCTCCTCAGCGTCCCCAAGAGTGAGCGAACAACTGTGCACAAGAACCTGATCTTCGCCCTGGCTGCAGGAGAAGCTCTGCTCATGTTCAGTGAGCTGGCCAAGACCAACCAGGTGAGCTCGGCAGGAATATCCCCTCAGCCCCTGCGAGTGGGCTCCAGCATCCTGCCAGGGTGACAGAGCAGTGCAAACCCCTTCATAATCACCCGTAACTGGCATTTAAACCCTTTCATTGACCACCTGTAACTGGCATTTAAACCCCTTCATATTCACCTTTAACTGGCATTTAAACCCTTTCATTGACCACCTGTAACTGGCATTTAAACCCCTTCATATTCACCTTTAACTGGCATTTAAACCCTTTCATTGACCACCTGTAACTGGCATTTAAACCCCTTCATATTCACCTTTAACTGGCATCTAAACCTTCATTGATCACCTTTAACTGGCATCTAAACCCTTTCATAATCACCCTTAACTGGCATCTAAACCCTTTCATAATCACCTTTAACTGGCATTTAAACCCTTTCATAATCACCCATAATTGGCATTTAAACCCTTTCATTGATCACCTTTAACTGGCATCTAAACCCCTTCACTGATCACCTTTAACTGGTGTCTGGGGTAGCTCTGTGTCCCTGTTTGGAGATGCTCATGTCCTCGTTGTTCAGCCGTGGTTTCTGTCCCTGCAGGTGCTGTGTTTCACCGTCACTGCCTTCCTGCACCTCTTCTTCATGGCAGCCTTCTCGTGGATGTTGGTGGAGGGGCTTCTGCTCTGGAGCAAAGTGGTGGCAGTCAACATGAGCGAAGACAGGAGAATGAAATTCTACTACGTGACAGGCTGGGGTATCTGCACACTCCYCTCCCTTTGGTCCTCAGGAAAATGCTCAATTTTTTTTTTTTCTAGTGAAAGTTTTAATAGGATAGATTCGCTAATGTTTGATTTAATTTAATATGAGAGCTGGGTGCCAGTGCCCTGCAGAGGCTCTCTTGAATTATTTGTCAGATTGACAGAGTAAAAGTTAAGCAGCATTTCTGTTATATTTCTAAATCCAAGTGTTCAATTTAAAGAAAAAAATGGAGGAGGAGATTTATGATTAAGTTCTCATTCTTGGAGAGTCTCACTATTGTCTGATAGTAATTAAATATAAAAGTGCTCCTCACTAAGCACCTTTTATTCTGAGGGAGCCCTRGAATTCATTTGAATAAGCTGAGTTTTGTGTCCAAGAGGAGCCTCTCTGGGGATGTGCTGCTCGAAGAGCACACACCTAGTTGGACACTGGGCCACCACTTCGAGTATTCTGGATTGTTTTATGTCTTTGATTGTCCATTTTGTTAAAAAAGCAATCTGAGGAATAAATTGCTTTGGTCAGGACGCAGGACTTGGAATGCTTTATACCTYAGAGAAAGATGCTGACAGCCTGTAAATCTGGCAGTGTTGAGCCAGGGCAGATTTCAGCTGCAGAGAATTGATGCTGCTCGTGGGTTTTTGGAGGCTCCCGCTGGACTGTGCCTGCTCAGGGGGGTTTTGTGGCAATTTTCTGGTGCACAGGGCTCTKCATGGGGCAGCTCTGCTTCACCCAGGGTTTAACCTGTGTTTTTCCCTGCAGGGCTCCCAGTCCTTGTCGTGGGGGTGACCCTTGCATCTTCCTTCAACAARTACGTGGCAGCCAAGCACTGCTGGCTGAACGTGCAGAACAATGTCATCTGGGCCTTCGTGGGGCCGGTGCTCGTCATCCTGGCTGTGAGTGCCAAACCCTGCTGGCAATCTGGGATCCCTTGGGGCCAGGTCCTGGAAAAGCAGGGCAGAGTCAGGGCTGTCAGCACCCTGTGCCGGCTGTTTTTATAGGAGAAGTGTTGCTTTACTTCTTATAGACTTTTGCAACACAAATAAGCATCTTATAACTGCTTTTTGATAGGAAAAAGTGCTTTAAGGAAATGTTGCTGACCAGTTCTTGGTTGGCTGTTAAATCAGGAATGTGGGGTGTGACGTTGCCTTAGCTAAAGGTTTGATTTTGATACAGGAACATCTACATCCTTGAAATATCATAAAACAGCAGAAGAAAAAGGTGCAATGTGTGAGGGCTCCAGAATAGACATTTAGCGGGAAGGAGCAGCTTTGGGCTGAGTTTCCTGGCCGAGCTGAGGCTGCAGAATGTCCCTGAGTGCAAGAACTCTCCCCTGGCAGGTGAACACCTTGGTGCTGCTCCGCGTGGTGACGGTGACAGTGGCCAGCGCCCGCAGGAGATCCAACATGCTGACCCCCAACAGCAGCCTGGAGAGCCAGATTGGAGCTCAGATCTGGTGAGCAGGGCCTGGCTCTCCCTCTGTGGCTGCTCTGGGTGTGAAATACCTGGGATGGTGTTCGGTTCATGGAGGAAATCCTTCCYGTGAGGGTGGGGAGCTGCAGCCTGAGTCATTGCTTTATCGTGCTCTGTGGATCTTTATTGTTGTTAGCTGGCGCCGGGTACCCCTGCCAGACACGCATTGTTCCCCCGTAGCATAAATAAATTTTCCCAAATTTACACAAGTGCAAAGATAGGGCATTGCTGGAGGGCAGGGTGACATCCATGTGCAAATAAAACAACTCGAGAAACCCTCCTTGCGGCAGAAATTGGGGGAAAATCGCTGTTTTCTCATGGCTGCTGACGTCAAAGAGCCCCTTCTTGCTAACTTGCAGCGATAAATGCAGAGCAGGGCTGGCACATTGGGGTCTGGGGGGTGAAATGTTTGSTTTTTCCTGTCTTGTTTGTGGTGTTTCCTCTCTAAAGGCTCCAGGCTAACCCTGAGCCCTTCCTCCCTGCAGGGCCACGGCCAAGCCGGTGCTGGTGCTGCTGCCCGTGCTGGGGCTCACCTGGCTCTGCGGGCTCCTGGTGCACCTCAGCATCGCCTGGGCCTACATCTTCATCCTGCTCAACTCCCTGCAGGTGGGTCCGGGCTCTGGGGGTCCCCAGCTCGCAGCAGAACCTCCTGTTCTTCAGTGGCTCTGTCCTTGGAGCCAGGGACACCCTCCAGCCCAGCCTTCCCGAGCCACTGCGCTGTTTAGTCTGAGCAAACCCAGCTCATCCTCCCGAGATACAGAACGTAGCTCTGGAGACCTTGTTCATCCAGTGGCCCTCAGCACGAGGCTGGCAGTGTCCTGTTCAGATTGTTCCTCGTGCTGGGTTTTCTGACACCGGTGTGCTTTCAGAACGGCASTTACGAGCTCATTAGGGGTTTTATTTGGTGCTGTAGTGGGCAATTAAAGTGGAGCAAGATGGGGCAGTCCCTGCTGCTCTCGGTATCCTGGGATGAGTGAGGCTCTTCCCGTGGTACAGGGCTGGCCATGGGTGTCCGTGGGTGTCCATGAGTGCCCGTGGGTGTCCCTGGGTGCCGTGGGTGCTGTGGGTGCCATGGGTGCCCGTGGGTGTCCGTGGGTGTCCATGGGTGTCCATGGGTGTCCGTGGGTGTCCGTGAGTGCCGTGTCCCCGCTGGAGCAGGGCTGCTGCTGCTGGACAGTGTCCAAAGTCACCCCCGCTGTGTCCTTGGCTCTGCTCGGGTGGGGTGCTCTGGGATGGATGTTTGGCTCCTGTTCAGATGTTCTGAGGGTTGTGACCCCGGTGATTGGCACAGGCAGAGCCACCTTCCCCYGCCTCAGGCTCAGCTTTACTGCAGAGAGCTGAGAGCCAGGAGCTGAAATCCTTTMCCCCATGCAGCTGCTGCCCAGGGATGCTCCCAGGGCCAGGGGCAGCTGTCCGGGGATCTGGAGAGATGCAGGAGTGTGTGTGGACCAGCTTTGAGCGGCCTTGTGTGGACACCTGCGAGTTTAGRGGCTCTTTCTAGCTCTGAATTGCAAGACCTTGTGTGGATCAGATCATCTCCTTCAGCCTCGTCATTCCTCTTCGTCACCTGGCTACACTTTAAAACCCTTTTCTTGTCTTGGTATCTTGCAGGGCCATGGCCACGACTGCCATATTTCAGCCATGCTGTTATTAAGTTAATGTTAATGGGGAATTCTGAAGGGCAGAAAGTAACATCATCACCTGATGCATGAAGCAATCCTTARTATTTGCTTCTGAGTTTACTGTTTCCATCAAAAAACTTCAAAGCTTTGAGCAGGCTGTTGGCAGTTAAGAGAGCAGAGCAAATCGTGTCAGTCACAGCAGCCAGGAGAGCTCAGCTCTGCACCAAGCTGGGGCTGTTCCTAAGCCCTCAGGGGGGACAGAAAGTCCTGGAACATGTGCTCACCACCTGCGGTTCAGAGCACCGGCAGGGRCCTTGCAAACCTTGAGGGAAGGCAGCTGTAGATGGAGCCAGAGAAACACTGAACACCCCAGAGCATCCTGAGCACCCCGAGCATCCTTCCCTGGGGAATAGAAATCACGGGAGCGACTGGGCACAGCCCAAAGCTCTGGGATTCAAGAGTGTCCGGCTGCCATCCCCTTTCTCTGTTCCCCTGGACGCTGGTGCTGCAGCTCCTGTGTACAGAGCAGCCGTGTCCGTGGTGCTTTCCCCACACTCCTGGCAGTGCCCAGCAGCCCTGGCAGTGTCCAGAGCCCTGGCAGTGCCCAGAGCCCTGGCAGTGTCCAGAGCCCTGGCAGTGTCCAGAGCCCTGGCAGTGCCCAGCAGCCCTGGCAGTGTCCAGAGCCCTGGCAGTGTCCAGCAGCCCTGGCAGTGCCCAGAGCCCTGGCAGTGTCCAGCAGCCCTGGCAGTGTCCAGAGCCCTGGCAGTGTCCAGCAGCCCTGGCAGTGCCCAGCAGCCCTGGCAGTGTCCAGCAGCCCTGGCAGTGCACAGCAGCCCTGGCAGTGTCCAGAGCCCTGGCAGTGCCCAGCAGCCCTGGCCTGGCTCTGCCNNGTGAATCCAGGCCTTATGGCCATGGTGCAGGGCTGCTCGGGGCTGTCCTGTCCTGGCACAGGTCCAATGGAAGGGTCCAAGGCCAGGCAGGGGCTGCTGCTGCACATCTCCACTCTTAGGGACAGCAGGAGGATGGCAGGAGTGTTAATGATAATTAAACATTGCATGGGTCTGCTCCTGCCGTGCTTGGGGTGCTGAGCAGGAGCAGAGCAAGAGCAGGGCAGGAGCAAGGCAGGAGCAGAGCAGGAGCAGGGCAGGAGCAAGGCAGGAGCAGAGCAGGAGCAGGGATGGGCAGGAGCAGAGCAGGGCCATTCTCCCCCCGCCCGCCACTGCAGCTGGGCCTCCTCTCCTTCCTCGCTCTCCTCCTCCTCCCTCCTGCCCTCTCCTCTCCTCTCCCCCTCCCCAGGCTCATCCAGAATGATTCTTTCAAGGAAGACCTGCCTTGGAAGCCTGGCCAGAAATGTGGTCTGGGGGAGTGAGCGGCATTGCTGGCTGAAGGACAGGTCAGGGCTCGGTGCCAGGGGCTGCTGCCACTGCCAAGAGCTCRCAGATGAGCGCAGGGCTCGCTGAGGACAGGATGAATTGCATCTCTGGCTGCAGCTGATTTATCTAGCTGYGATAACGAAACACCCCACAGATAAAACATAAATCTGCCGGGCCAGATAGGGCTGCCTTAAAGCCAAAATCGTGGGTCTGGAGCTGTAATTAGCCCCAGGCTGCGGCCCCCGGGCTGTGCTCACTCCGGCCTGGCCTGGGCACTGTCCCTGGGCACTGTCCCTGGGCACTGTCCTGGGCACTGTCCCTGGGCACTGTCCCTGGGCACTGTCCTGGGCACTGTCCCTCAGCACTGTCCCTGGGCACTGTCCTGGGCACTGTCCTGGGCACTGTCCTGGGCACTGTCCCTCAGCACTGTCCCTGCACACTGTCCCTGGGCACGTCCCTCACACAGCTGTGCCCAGTGTTCAGTGGTGGCCAGGATGTCCCTGCTGCTGGCCCTCAGTGTGTGCCCTCCATCCGTGCCACCTCACCCCTGCCAGTGCACAGGATCCCAAACCAGCTGGGCATCTGTGCCACCTCTGACCCTGCCTGTGCTCTCTCCTCTGCAGGGCCTCTACATTTTCCTGGTGTAYGCAGTCTACAACAGCGAGGTAAGAGATGCCCTGGCTGGGTTCAGTGACAGAGCTGTGCTGGCACCAAGGGTGACAGGGTTGTGACAGTGGCAGCACAACCCCGACTGTGCTCCTGCAGCAGGGATTTTTCTCCATGGCTTGCTGGAGAATCTGCAGTAGTTCTGGAGCTGCTGTGGCCTCTCTCATGTCCTTGCTCTGCCCCAGGTGAGGAATGCCATCCAGAGGATGAAGGACAAGAAGAAAGCCCTCTCGTTCACAGTGAGTTGGAAGGAATCCCCTCTGCCCCTCATCCATCAGGAACCCACCAGAGGAGGGTCCCAGCTCTGCTGTGGGTCTGCTTGGAGGGGATGAGGATGGAGAGAAATCTTATTTTTTTT